GCTACTGAAGGTAGAGACAGAGAGATGAAGGCAATAGTGGAACAGATAGGCGACTGAGCATTGACCTGCCTGGGAGGAGAGAGAGGAGCCACGCTCCGGCGGAACAGTCCTTAGGGGAAACACAAAACAGTAGCTGGCTAGGGGATAAATACATACAAAACAATGAAAACGCACGGAGTAAAGTTGGCCTAGTGACTAGAACGAACTGGCAAGTGACTGAGGAGTGAAACCAGGTAATATAGTGAGTGACCTAATCAAGTGCAGCTGGTGATAAGTGAGTGAGGAACAGGTGAATGTGATTAGTGTTAATGGGCAAGAGACAGTAGGAAAGGTGAGGGAAGCCAGAGCGGCCGAGCAAACCTGACAGTTACACTGATTGTCTACAATTATTTGTACAGTTGCATGCTGTGTATACAGGTTTTTGAATCTTCCTTAAAATGAAATGTATTATGTGAATAAATTTAGCTTTGCTTTGATTTAATAGGCTGTTATTAAAGCATGCTTCCTCAACCACGAGGATAAATGCTGAACTAATGCTTGAAGTGATCAGGGGTCTAATAAATATTACAACCGCTCAAGGCTCCTTTGTTTGTTGTCATCTGAGATAGACCCATTAGAAGCTACCTCCACAGATCATTCACTTAGGCTACGTAGTTACACTTTGGAGGAGTAAAGATTACAGGTGTGTCTTGGGGAGACAGATGCATTTACACCATTTCATCATCTATCCACTCCCAAGACCCATGAACTAAGTGTAAAGGTAGCTCTTTCTTTGTAATGCTGTTTAACTGGATTACACTATATTGTGTAAGAACATGACATACAGTAGGGCTGGATGATTAATCATTTTCTAATTAAAACTGTGATTTAGCAGAACACAATTTTCAAACCACAAAAGCTATGATTTTGATTTTGATTAAAATGTGTTTTAAACACTACAGATTGTAAACAGTCTGAATAGCACAGGCTTCAGGGGCACACACTCCGCCCTCCTCTGCAGAGTTCACCTGCAAAGTAAATGAATGAGAGTGGACAAAGAAAGATGCCAATAAATTTCACTTTGGTGCTGCTAGCCTCACTGAAAATTGACACAGCAGAGGCAAACCACTGACTGTATATAAGAGATGGATGGACCCTCCATGACATCACCCATGGGTTTTACCAAGTCTGGCCATCGCTATATTACTAGTGCTTCACTCTGCCTGCTACAGTTAATCCAAAAATGGCCAAGGTTGTGGAGCATGAGTCTAGCTTGCTAGACAGCTAGCAGCCAGTCACTAGTGTTGGAACCCTCCCATCTGTCACTCAAGCTTCAAGCCCTTAATTATGTATTTTAGATTCAATATCATTTAAACAGGCGAGTTATATAAAAATTCACCTCCCATACAGATGTCATGGAAGAGGAACCGAAAGCATTTTTTTGTATCAGGCTGTAATCATGTTTATTTCTGCTGTAAAGTTGGGCATTGGTTGTCTATGGAGATTGACTCCCTTTAGTGGCCTCAAGTGGCCATTCAAGGAACCGCAGGTTTTAACACTTTGATCAAACCCAAACATTGACAACAAACAGAGTTGTGTCAAAATTAAACAATACTTTGGTCTGGACCAGTTGTCAAGTGAGCAAGTATGTACGGATATGAAGTAATATTGGGACTATTTCTTGTATACTGTCACTTCTCGCAAGCTTCTGGTGCTGTCTTCTGCTTTCTCAGTGCCTTCTCTGCTCCTTTAGAGCCACCAAAAGAGCCCTGAGCTTCCCCTTAAGCAACAAAAATTTATTTTTGGGTGGTCCCAAATAATCAATAATCATAATCCTGTATTGAATCAATATGGGATGCAGTTTGTCATTCTTAATGCTTACATTTGTTGTCCACAGTGTGAAAATGTTACTAAAAAAACTAAACCATTTTAGAAAAGCTGTAGATCGTAGGGATAAAGACAGACTCTGTATGTGGAGCAGAACAGCCCGCTGTGCTTCTGAGTGGCTGTTACCTCCCTCACCTCTGTCTCCCTCCACTAACCACTGTCGGTTCGGTCCTGCGGCTCCACCACCCGGTTACCATTTGTACCATTATCATCCTTAAACAATAAAGCAGCTGCAGTGACTGTTGTTGATTCACTTTACATGAGTAACACTGTTTAAATATGTAAAGGTGTGGCTGAAATTTTCAGAGAAAAGTTAAAACAAATAAATGCTTCAAATCGTTCAGTGTATCTAGCAGCAGTAACTGTGCAGATAACAGAGGATTCGGGACCACAGCTCCCAGTGAGTCCAGAGCAAACACCAGTCCAGTTTTACAGCATAAAAGGTAGGCAGAAGGAAGCCAGATTCAATTTATGTAGCAGTTGTATAGCTCAGTCCTCTGCTTTGGTTTCAGCTGAAAGTCTAACACACTTAAGGTCCTCAGAGTCCGTCAGGAGCTCAGATCTACAGAATTTTATGAATGAAGGAAGAAAAAAAAGTCTGCTGCTGTACTGTCCAGTTTGAATTCTGATCTCACCTCCTCTAGCCTATAGCCAAATAGCTGGAAAGTGAGAAATAGAAATACAATTTAACACAAAGCAATCTGAACAGCAGTAGCCCCAACCCACAGCACAATTAGTGCAATTAGAATATTTGACATATGACATACTATAATTCTGGACTGCAAACAGAACTAAAAATATTGCCAAGAGTCAAAACTCATGTTTTTGAAATATATTTGAGCCACCTTAATCCCTCCAAATAATTATAAATAGTGCTAACCATACAGATCACCACTGCTTGTATGATTGAAAGCATGTGATTATGTTTTGACAAAAACTGTCCAAAAGTTGCACGGGTGTTTCGTTTGCCAGGAAATTGCAAATCAAAGTCTGAAAATTTCCCTTTTGAAACATGATTTTAATTACACTAATTCTGACAAACGTGCACTGCTTTTTGAGAATTGCTGCACCTACTATTTCAAGGGGTCTAATGTTGTCGAAAGTACAGTTGTTGACTAAATGTAGTCCTTGAGGAATTGTTGACTTTGCAAAAGCTCTTGTAGCTGCATAATTACAAATACCAGGAGACACTTCAATTCCCTTTAAGCCACTAAATAAATAGAAGACAACTGACAAAGACCTTCACAAACACCAACTTCTGACTTGCTACTTACACTCAGACAACAAAGGAAATACATCCAAGTGTTAAACGCCACCCTATGGGATGCCAACGAAAGGTGTGAGCATATAAAAATTAATCCTAAATTGCACTGCCTGCCTTCCCCGAGAGTGTACGAAAACAAATGTTGAAACAGCAGTTTTGTCAAAGCTAATGTTTTACCAGGAAGCAAGGATGTCCTACTATATCCGGATCTGTTTGTTGAGAGTTATACATCATTCCTACATACATGCTTCATTTCTAGGAGATTAGATATAAAAGAATTCATTCAAATACTGTCATTTGGCAAATGCATGTTTCTAATCAGGAATTAAGGTCTTGATAACAAAATGGGTGTGATGAGCATTTTCTTCTACTGCTAAATCTTTCAAGCATGCAAATTGGGGGCAGATGAAATTAGCCAAGAAGAGTTTGAGGGATGAGAGATGTGTCGCTAGGGGTCGACATCTTTTGTGGAACATAAGTCCCATTTATCCCAAATTAGGACATGTGTGGTACTGGTTCGCTTTGATGTTCCTGGGTGTGGTGTCGGGGGGAGGAGGGTGGGGCACAAGCAGATGTTCAAGGCTCATCCTTTGAGGTGGTGATGAGACGTAGCAAGAGTTTTTACATCCCATTCTTAGCCAGATGACACAGATACACGAACAGGGCTGCACTTGCCAATGTACAGTATGGGCTGTTTTACCAATATCAGCAGATCAAATAGTTTGACCTATTTCTGCAAACACTACCCTGTATGTACCTGATGAACAGTGAAAACATCCACAATAAAATGCAATGATTTTTTAAGCCATGCTAATTAGTCAGCTTCAGAAATTGTTGTAAAGCAACATCATAAAGGTCTTTAGGTCACACTCTAACCAATCAGCACAAAGCAGCTCTTATCCTACATACTGTATGTTGTCTGGGTTCACAAGGTCACATGTTGTTACTGTATACCAACTTCTCTTCATTGTCAAAATGTTTTTGTTTTTGTTTATTTTAATTGGAACCTCATCTAACTGGTTGCATTTTGTTTCTGTTACTTCAGGAATATGACGACGGCTATGGAACAGCTTATGATGACCAAGGATATGAATCATATGACAACAACTACAGTAATCAAGGACAAAAGTAAGCTCTTCCATTTGTTTCTAAGTGAATCTCACTATGAAACATTTCATTCAAGTAATAAACACTGAACCATTGTGCAGCATATGGATTTTCTATATTTTATATTTATAACTATGAAATTACTTAGTGTAATGTGAAAGGTGTTGATCATACAGTAGTGACAGACCCACAAAGAATTCTCACCAGATTCTGCAGTTCCCCTCAGTTCTAGTTTGAGTTTTATCATCTTTTGGCTCTTGGCTTTACAGCCTGCAACCTTAGTATTTTTTGATTTGTCTAACTGGTCTCATCAAGCTTGTTTTCAGCCACAGGTTGCTCTTTTCTACAAAAAGTCTCTAAACCCACAGTACATTACTAACCAGCATCAAATGTAAAGACATTGTTAGGGACTAGGTCTGATATTCAGCAGTAAAAGAGCTGAAGGGAGCGTGAACATCGGACTTGTGACTTAGGTTTGTGATGTGAGTTGTACAAAAATAGTAATCATCACTGCTTTGATGTTGACTTTGTAAAACTACAATAATCCATAATTTTATATACCATAACCATACAGTGACAGTACCCCGCCTGAGTGAGTGCACTGAATGAAGACTTACCTGACTATATGTTGAACTGTATTTATGGCTTTTCAAGTCTAAAATACTAATTTATGAGCAGCATCAGAGGGCAGTGGGTAGATAGAAACTTTATTGCAGACTCAAGGTCCAGACTCCAGGTGAAGATTTTAAGGATTTTGGTGGGAGAACAGTTGGAGTATGGTGTATGGGCTGTTAAGGAAACATTTATGTTCTTCTGCTCTGTTCTGTTTGAGACGTTAAAGAATACTTGCTTTTAATGAAGCATTTTGTGAAGTATGAAATGTTTTGAGTTATCCTTTAAGACTCACTCAAAAAACATGAATTTAACACTGATGTTTTTAACATCCAGATTCCACTTTAGAAAAAACACAGTCAGGCAGGTATAGAAGATTTGAAAAGACTTGGTGCAAAACAGTATCACTAATTGTTAGTTTAGTAAGAAGCCAATCATTGAATGTAAGGTCTCAAAATAAACTACTCTCTGTGGACTCAGTGACATAGAGTAATCACATTCTCCTCCGAGGAATTACCGTAATTGCAGCTCATTAAGTTAAACATCTTATCTTTCCTTTTAATCACCTTAAAAATATCTTGCCAAAGGTGGATTTTGGTGGATGGCAATTCAAACCAAACAGTATTTGTGAGATGATGCTCTGCTTAACAGAGGGTCCTGCATAGCTAAATGCTGAATATTGATTTTCTTATATCCAGGGAGCTATCACACTTTTATTATGCCACACAAGGTCAAAGGCTTTTGCTTTGGTTTGTTGGTGTCCCACTGTACTTTATCAGCACACAATTTGCTGCATTTATGTATAGTTGCCTGTGCTGCTTCAAAGAAAGAATGATTGTTGCCACATTTACTGTGTGGAAAATTGGATTGTATTGGCAGCAGCTGCAAAAAAGCAAAAGAGACACAGGAAAAAAAAAAACATTATTCTGTCCTGCTTTTGTGAGCAGGGTGGTCGATGTTTTCTTTTGTGGAGATGTCAAGATGTATGTCACCTATGCCTCATCTGTCTTCTGTGCTATCTCCTTTTTTTTGTTGGGGGGGGGGGTTAGATCACACACTAACAGATACACACTTACGCCTTCCTCTGATACAGCAAGGTTCTGGGGTGCTGGGGGGGACGTTAGATGGGTGGAGGTTTGCCTCAGGAATCTGCAGCTATTTGTTTTAAAAGCAGCATCTTGAGTAATGGTGGGACTGTGTTTGTGACGGGGGTGTGTGGGGGGGGGGCAGTGCAGAGGAAAAATAGAGTCCCTCACATAAAGTAAAGGCTGGAGGCTGGGGCGACTCAAAGAGATTTTCATGTCGCTTATCTGGCGGGAGACAAAGCAACTAATAGGGCCCAGACATCGAAGTCTGTGCCTCCAGAGACGGCTGATTCACTTACTTCTTCCCTTATTTGTGTGTCATATGTCCTGGATTTGGTTGAAAAGTTACAGTTAAAGCTGGCTGACATTCTGCATGTATTCAGCATAGAGTCAGCTTTATTTATTTCTGCGATATGACCGGCCTGGGATTGATTGAATTTGGACCATTTTGTCCATAAACTCAGGATATATCACGTTACATGTTCTCTTTGTTTGTCCTTTGTTTATTCCTGCAGGCAGTATATTAATAACAGTGTACAAAATTAGCATGATAAGCCAGTTCAGTGGTATCACAAAGCTAAGAATTTAGGGTTTTCAATTTTACAGTAAATGAATTTTTTTTTAGTACTTATATTCCAAACTAGAAAGCCATATACATATACATACATACATACATACATACATACATACATACATACATACATACATACATACATACATACATACATACATACATACATACATACATACATACATACATACATACATACATACATACATACATACATACATACATACATACATACATACATACATACATATACATATATACATATTACATGATGGGTTCACAGGAATCTATTTATTAGCTTTGATTATTGCTTTTTAGCAGCTGTAATTATTACTTTAACATAATACTATGCCATAGCTCCCTCTTCAAAATCACAATACTATTTAGCTTGGAAAACTATTTGTACCCTGAGCCTAAGGAAAGTCATAGCAGGGCCCTGCTGCAGCAGGGCCTTGAGGAGTGTGTGTGTATGTGCACACAGAGTCTCCTAACAATGTTTCTCGTAGCCTAAGGAGCTCCTAGTCACCAATCTGAGCTCTGACTGCGTGGCAGGATTTCAGTTGCCGGAGGATAACAAGCAGAACAATTTACAGTCTCTCTGTCATGGTATTACCCCGATAGCTTGTGCTGGAAAGAGGGCTGCCATTTGTGAACACAAAGGTAAAGGAAGAGGGCGGCTGCTGTAATACTGCATCAGTGTGTTTACTGATATGTCAATTAACTTGAATTTTCATTTTGCATGCAAATCATTTAACTTTGGGTGGTGATCTCAGTTTGGCTTGTCAGTCAAACTATTAAGTAATTAAGATAAACACTAGATAATATCTTAAATCCCCTGTTGTATCACTGTAGGAATATATTCTACATTCCACAAAATGAACGGTTTAATTCTTTTTTAAAAGTTAAATGACCATGTAATTCTAAATGAATTAATTGACAACAACTCCCTTTGAAAATTGTTTAATTGCTTATGTCATTTATGAAGCACTTTTTACAGCATCTCAAATGAGTAGATTTACTTACTTTATGTCTGTTTATGACCATTGTAAATGGAATACAATGGATCACTGGTCAGACAAAGCAATTTTGCATCAACCTGTGCTCAGCAGATGTGCCAATATTTTTAGAAGCTTCAAAACATGTAATAAATTAATAGGGGTGTAACAATTCTGAAACTGAAACCACGACCCAAACATCCATGTCTCGGTGGGGGGTGGGGGGATTGTGGTTCGTGGCAGATGGAGAATTCTAGATGCGGCCGTGTCATGGTGATCAGATGGCAGTGTGGTCCCTCCACTATCTGCTGCTGATCAGACCTGTTCTTTTCACCTGCTCACCCTTCATGCTATCCAGTTTAAAAATGTTAATATTAAACAAAATAAGCACTGACTTTAACACTGTCCTTAATTGTAGTCATCAATTACAGATACTCAAGCACTTCACGCCTCTGTGTATCACTGCCAAGAGTGAATAGTGGATTAAATCTGAATGTTCTCTGCTGTGCTTAGCTTATACAAAATGTTATAGTGCACTGTCCGCAATGGTACCCACTGACAAATGAGATGAGGAAACCTGTGCACATTATGTCACACAGAACAGTAAGAACTGAGTACCTTAAACATAATTAAATTTGAAAGCCAAATAAGGCACTGACAGCCTTAAAACCTGAGTCCTAAGCTAAAAAGCTGTTTTTAGAAGCCCTGAAGACATTTCACAACATTTACATCTTTCAACGAGAGCTGAAGCCTGGGGGGAACTCACAGAACGTTACCTCAGCATGACAGCCATGGCAGTCAGTCTACAGGCTCCAGGATCACAGCCTCCTCTATCTGTGTTTATACTAAACAGAGCACTGAGCTCATCTTTTTTGGAGAGGCAGCAGAGAGCTTTATTTCAGGAGAGCTATTGGAAGCTGCAGCTGTTAGATACTAATCAAGCACTAGGGTCAAGGAAGCTAGAGGAGGCTGCATGTGTGGATACCCTCTTAAATTTTATTAGCAAAGAGGAGGGGAAGTCTCTGAAGGCAAGGTCATCTCTCGCAGCTCGGGTGCGATCAAAGCATTATTTCATACTTGAGACCTCAGAGACTGCCAACTGCTGACACCTCGCACCTTCCTTTGCACCTTGCTTTGGTACGCTACATTGTAGGCTGGGTCCCGGAGGCCCGTGGGTACAAGGATAGCTGCGTGACATTATTTTAAAGGGCATACACATCCCCTGAGGAGCATCTGTAAATCTTAGTACAAGAGATGGGCACAGAGGAGAACAGAGAAAAGTGGCTGAATTTCTGAGTTTCATGAAATAGCAGTTTAGAATCGATTGCTTGAAAGAGCCCCTGAAACTACTCAAACAAGTCTTAGCACCAACATGCATACAAACCTCTGACTGTTGTTCTGTGAACACCTTAGGGGCTGGATAGTCATTTCAACACTGCCAAATACTACAAAGACTGTATCTGCTGTGGTTGAATAAAGAATGCAGGCTGTGAATACCAAAATGAGGATGGGGTGTTCATGATCTATCTACTGTATACTATTTCAAATCTATGGTCTTGCCAGTGGCGAGTTGTGTTGTCGTTAGGGCAGTAATCATAAATGGAGAAGCTACTCCTCTTGCTACTAGAGTGAAAGCTGGTGACAGCTCTGAGGGACAGTAGCTGTACTAGACCTACATGTTTGCATTAAAATGACAAGTTGTGAGTGGTGTGTAAGTGGTACCAAAGCATTAAGTGCAGAACCAGCTGTCTGTCAGCA